TGCAATTTGATATTGTTTTGGTTCAATATGGGCGACTGAAGATTGGCGACTAAAGTCCGAGGCCATGGAATAGGCCCTCATCCAGGAATCGTCCCTTTAATACCTCCTCGAAGAGATGTTCTTCAACTCGCAAACCCAAAAGGGGTCACGCACAGCGCCACTAGGTCGGGAGGGCACAACGCCAAAAGAGCGAAAGATTCTTGCCATATATCATTGTATATCCTAGAAGTCCATGCCTCTTGGGACTCTTGGGATCACCTAAAGACCATATTTACAAACAAATGAGCTCGACTCCCAAGGTAGATGTCCTAAATTGGATAGGTGCCCACATTTGTTGAGTAACTGAGTAACGTTCTTTTTGCTTAGTTCTTTGACTTTTTTTGGTGCTGAGTGATAAATGATTTGTCTTTGCGCGTTCAACCTGTGTTTGTTTTGAGTATTTGGTGGAGTCATGGGTTGTTTCAAAGAGTCGGAAGGCGAGACGTGCAGGCTTTCAAAAGGACAACCCTAAAGAGCCTGAAGTGGGCACCGGTATGTCAGCTACATTCAACGAAATTGGCATCATTAAGCACATGTATCCACCCCTTAAATATGCACAGGTAAGGGCAGGGTGACATTTGTTTTAATCGTGTAAAACCTCTTATTTTGATATGGGAGGTTTTATTCATCTAAGAGTCTACATTAAGGAACGCCGCTGGAACAAAGCTCTCTGCAGCAAAGGCCGCCCTTGGGAACCCCGGCCAGCCCGAGCGCTCCTGACTCAGCTTTTGAAAGAGCATCCGTGGGGGTCCCGTCCTTCTGGTTGGTGGCCAACTCATTGCACAACGAGTCAAAGGGTTCACTATGGTTCAATCATCTCAAGTTAAGGTTGAGAGGAAACACATCTGAAACTACCACCCAGTGATGTGGTTGCTTGATGTTCCTTGTGATTTCACGTGGCTTCACTCAGCTGCGGTTTGCGACCTAGTCCTTAGAGCGGCATTGCCGAGCTGAGTGGTAAGTGGTAAAGCATGGTAAAGGAGCACCTGTCCAGATGGGTCCTGACTTGGATGAATATGGGATGTTGGACTGGATGTTGGTTCCCATGGTCACAACATGCGACAAAAAGATATTATATACCCAGTAGCTCAAGAATGGTCACATGCCAACATGGCTTAACATATCCATATATATGAGTCATATGATATCCTGAATTCTATCAGCGGGCGCTGGAGGATCAAACTTGGCTCACACAATCACCTCATCCAACATCAAAATAGACAAGCGAGGTATCTTCGTAGTTGTGCCTCGTGAGCCAATGCAACCCGACTTCTTCCAACTTCTTTATAGGCATTCTATCAAATTCTATCCAATTTTTTTAAAGTAGTTCTATACTTATTCCATTCTATCTACAGTAAATAAAATCTAATGAATGATGGTATACTCACATGCTTGCTGCGCCATCGACCGACGTCCTGATAAGCTTGCAAGTTCGCGAGCTTCACATCGGGGTTCTCCCACCTGCGACCAACGGGACGCGTTTGGAGGTAGCTGAGTTGGTGCTAATTGGATACTGGGCAGGGGGGGAAACGGGGTTCTCATCATTCCAATACCCAGACACTCGATGTATGCCATATATGGCATACATGGAGTGTCTGGGATACACCAGAAAGCCGATAAAGGACCCCTGTCCCGAAGCTCTTCCCGAAGCTCGGAGGAAGGCGATTTCGCGGCGGCCATGTCCGCCACTTCCGCACAGACCCGGCCCGGCCACCAAAAAGAAAACGAAACTTCTGTCCAGTGCTGGCACCTCAATGCTGGCGTCCGGTAGCTGCTCCAGATCGGCCAAGGGCCACTAGGCCGCGCTCCAGGGTAGAGGGGCCTCGATAGACGGCAGAATGGTGCAGTGGGAGGGAAGTGCAGCGAAAGAGGAGAAAAGGAGGGAAGGATCATGTTCAGGTCGTTATACAGAATCTTAAACTTTGGTTTTGCAGTTCACTTCCGTTTGAGAGAATGGTTTGACTTTCGAAACGTGGAAACTTGATCAGAAGGATCATGTGATCTATCAAAAACCCTGACCATCCCTTGCCATGGTATGGTATGGTTAGACTAGAGACGACTAGTGATGGGATTGGATCGTCTTGGGTGATGGGTCACACAATCGTGACGGTAAGCTGCCGAGTGGGTTGAATTGAATCTTTGGAATTTCTGCAACGTTCCACCTCCTCGTAGGGTACTCACCTACTGGACCAATTCCAAAAAGGGATCTCACCCAAGCTGCGCTTAAGTGTGATGTTCCAGTGTTGACCCAGCCCAGTACATCCCCCGTGCTGTATCACCAGTTGGGAGGTGAAGCCTTCTTAAACTACAGAACTGGTTAATGTTCAACCACCCTGAAACGGACTTCCTTGCACAAAGATATACAAAAATGATCAAAAATGCATCCCGTCTGAGCACTGAGAACCATCACCTCATAAGGACTTCATCCATGTCCGTTTCCACCTGTCCCATTCTTCCAATCTGATTCGCAAAATGTCCAGCAAGCCAAAAACTCGGCGTGACGGTGGGTCGACAATTCCAGTGTCACACATTATCTCTCCCTCCGGCCCCCAACCTGATAATCCACGCAGATGGCACGCTTGGAAGGTGAATGTGTTCTTCTTCCAGCTGGAGGAACTGGTTATTTTCGCAGAGGGGTGCACATACACACCTTGTCAGTTGGAACTATGGAATCCAGGATCTTCTTGACAAATCCGGTCTGTCCACTTCGACAGTAGCCACATGTTGTATTGATTTTTTCTACCACGAACAACCCAAAAGGAGTATCTCCAGTCATCTCCCGTGATCCAACCATGGTTTTCAGGGTCTTTATACCCAAATAGTAAGGATTTTAGTCCACAACACTAGGTCAACCTGTCCTTTCATGGTCTTTAAAGGCTATAGGGCCGCCTGGGAACAAAGACTTGTCACTTAACTGACTGACCTCTCGAAATTCGAAGGTCCGCCCCTAAACCCCTTGGCGCTGGCGGACTGAGCCTCCCCACGCTCGCTTGAGCGAAGGCACCGACTGTGTCTTGCGCATCGGCGCTGGCGTTCGCGGCCTGTGGAGGGCGATGGGTGGCAGGGTGCCAGTCGAAGTCATAAATACTCATAGTCTTCCAAAGGTCCATGCGAGGTTCCACGGTATTCTTCCAGGGTAGGTGCACGTCCAAACTAGATGGGTGGTGACCTCAACCATGTTATTGAGTCCTTTGAGATCCACTGTGGAGCCATTAGACCGTCTGCAGGGTCAGTTCAGGCTTCCAAGCAGAAGAGCTTGCGAGTTGCACGGGCTCTTCAGCCTGAAAAGCTTGAACAATGATCGGATCACAAATCATAAACCCTAGTAGGGCTCCAACAAATATACCATCCAAATTTAAAGGTTTTACGGTAAATGGCGCTTGCTTCTTTTGATCAACAGTCCACATTAGGGCTCCACTAGCCTCTCAGAAGATAGGGACAGTCGGACAACCCCACCAAAACCACCCACCCAACCACAAAATAGGTATTATAGTTGGAATTAGTTGGAACCCATCCGGGAATCCCGGGGAAACCAGAAATCGGGTCGTAAGAGTTGAATAAAGCCCCCACCCCCGGTCTTCAAAATGGTTTTAGATTTGCTGGTGGCCTGGTGGCCTGGGATGTATTTACTGGCTCTCCCAACACCGGACCCAGGTCGACGATCGCTGCGTCGGGTATGTATCGGACATGGGGGGGCCCTACTAGGCCCCAAATGATTCTGCTTCGTCGCGGAACTGTAGCGGAGTCTGTGCATCAAGTCATATGATTCTCAACAAAAACAAACAAACAAAGAACCAAGTCAATCACAGTACGAACCTCGAATCTCCGCACGAACAGGTGGGGGGGCATGAGCAAAGTCCAGCCGAAAAGGAACATGTTCTTGTCCCAAAGGGTCCAGCACCATCCTGAGGATGTCTTTTCGCCTCCAAGGTGGCTCTCTGGAAGTACTGAAGGGCCTTCAAAACCCATCTTAGCAGCGTCTATCGGGATTGTAGCACCCCAAAAGATTCCAATTGGTCTTCTTCCACCGAGAAGACGAATACATCAGGTGACACCGAGCACCGTGCCTCGAATCCATTGGCTTGTCAAATCATGGCTGCCGGTCAGATCGAAGCTCCGGAGCCCAAATGTGCGCGGCGCGCGCATTTGGAATCCGTGCGGAGGAACACGGTGGAGGACCTCGACCTCTAATGTGCGAGAAAACAGACACGCACTCATGGATTAATGGTTTTATGTTGACTTTCCAGGCTCAGCAAAGAACCCTGGAAGGATTGAACTCAGGTTTGACCATCCAATGAGATCTGAAAAAAAAAACAAGTCTCTGCTGATCTGGGGAATGTTGCCAGTGCGTGTCTCACCTTCTCAGGATAAAACTGCTAAAACATGGATAATTCGTGATGGAGGACTGGCAGGCTTTAAATGGGTCATATTGGACACACACCTTCATCATTCTGCCGATTGGGTTCGCTTTTGGAGGCTTTGCTGATGTTGAAAAAAAAACAAACAAACAAACAAACAACATGCAGTCTCTTGCTCAAACCAGAAGCAGGCTCCGTTCTGTCGAACCAGGCTCCGTCCGGTGAATTGGTGAAGGCGGATCGAGAACCGCATTAACCTTCTTAAAGGACCAGTTTCCCCCGCATTCGTAAAAGAAATATATATATATACCGCCTTAGGATTCAATACACGAAGAAAACGTCAGGTCTGAGTGAATACCCGGGGTTTTCAGATGAAATATATATATATATGTATGTCTTTTTTTTGGGGGGGGGGGGATCAAAACAGATCAACACCTTGTTTGATGCAATCGACCCAAGAAGTGAACAAAACAACCAGCAGTGCTCATTGGTTTTGAGTGGATTACTGGGCGGGACAATGGGCTGCTTTGTTCACATCCTGCAGCCTCGTTGGTCGAAGAAGCATCCCCAAAAACCACACATCGTTTGCATCCCGGATCCTGCCTGTGATCGCCCCCACAAGCCTCATGAGACCACGATCAAGCCCCCCAAAAGCAGACTCCGGCGGATCGGCTGAATCCGAACGCCAGTGGTACCACAGCTAGTAACAGCCAACCAGTTCCAAAGACCAACGTAGATGCAGCTCTTTATCGGTGGGTCGCCTGAAATCTGGACTGGTATACCTGGACCTGAACCTTCAAGGGGTGTCCTGTCTGGAGATCCTGGCTACAAGGAGTAGTGCGGGGGCTAGTAGAAGCCAGGTGACCCCGTAATGAAGGTGCTGGTATACATTCACTCCTGGGGAAGTCAGAGCCCAAAAGGAAAATCGAAAGGCTCCAGCTGACTGAACCACGTGTTCCTCCTCGATTTCTCTGTGTGATGGTTCCCCATGAATGGGCGTACGTAGCTAGGATGGCCAGGAAATCGTCTGCTCTAGCTTTAGTTCAATTTTGGAACTTCTTATATACATACCTGGTAGCATACCTGGTAGCAAATAAAAAACAAACTTGGGAGCTGAACACATTGATTTACTACATGACGCCTCATTCATCGCCTCTGAACTTCTGGTGGTGGATACCTGTTTTTCATGGCTGCAGATCGACCGGGGAGTTCTTTTAGTTCGTAAACCAACAAATCATTTGTGGGTCGAGTCGGCGGCGTGAGCGGCAGCATGCCATCGTGGCCCGGATGGTCGAACGGTGATGATCTACGCTGCGGCGCTTCCGGCAAGTCCTGACGATCAAATGAGTCGTCACGACGCGCCCAATGAGATTTGCTCCAACCAAAGTGCAAAACGTCCTTCACCAAGCATGACTAAATCGGGGCAACAAAAAAACTCGAGCAAGCTAAATGATTTGCTGTTCAGCAATCTGGAAAACACAACCAACTCTTCTCACACTCTCATCCAAAAGGGGATTCAACCAGAACTGGAACATCCACAAATCAGCTGATTTTCCAGCAAAGCCCATCCAAGCGTCGCTTCTCATACCCCTACATGTTCAACCGTTCAACCCCCAAGAACCCTGTGGGTGGTGCCCTAAACCCTCAAACCCGTACGAACCCGATGGAGACGACCGTGCATGGCTCCGCTCCAGGTTCCCGGACCACCATGCGAACGGCCGCCCCACACCGCACCGGGGACCGCACCGGGGCGGCAGACCTGTTCGGTTGCGATGCCCTTGAGACGTTGAGATAAAATCTTGGGGGTCTATTTGATTGATGTAACGTACATCATGTACATCTATATGCAGATATATGCAGCAGTATACCAAAATCCATGGAAGATCCTTGAGATGACATGATGTTGTTTCGGAGATGGATACACACAGCACACACACAAATCAAAGAGAGAGAGAGAGAGAATCTTGCACAATTGTCCTTACTTAGCCTCCGACATCGCCAACGCAAACGCCATGTTTGTCGCATCTTGATCAAGACCTTCCCCCCCCCAATGGTTCCGCAGATGAATCACTCAGATCTGATCACAGCGTCATTGGATGAACATCCCGATCAAGCTCCAATCAAGGCCACCAACGGCCGACCTCCGCCCCCGGCCTCCGCCAGCTATAGATGACGCCTTCGCGCTGCCCGTCACCGGTCACGTCCGAAACGCGTCGACCGGTGCACGAAACGCGTCTCGGCCGGTCGGACTCGGGCGTCGGTTCTTTTCCGGTTGGGCTTCGGGAGGGGATCCCTGAAGTTCGGAGACGTCTCCGAACAAAGGACTCGAAAGTCGGGGCACTGGCACGGAGTTGATCGGTGGGTGAATTGGAAGTGGCACGGAAACAACATGTCGCAACTGAAGGGTTCTCAGTTGAAGCTCAATAAATATACGTACAGCCTAGCTTCTCCACGTTGGATGCGATTAACATGCATCCGATGTAGACTGTTGATGACTGTTGGATTCCGTTCGACACTTGTGGAGTTTGTTACAAACACAAAGCAAGTCGGCCTGTTTCACATGCTTCAGCGGTGATTCAGTGGCAGTGGTTCTTGGTGACAAGGAAAAACCTCTGCCCCACCTCAGGATAGGCCGTGCATGGCTACACACTCTACTTTAGGTCAATCTTTTGGTTGGTTTTGTGTGTTCGTTCTTATGATTCGACATGCTCACCCCCGAACACGTGCACGGAAAGAATCCACTCGCCTTCGGCGAAACAGACCGGGTCCTCCGTGCAGGTGGTCCTATACTTGTTGATTGGTTTGTCGGATGCAAACGCACCATGTGTTTCGCTCGTCTTCTTCTGTGTTGCTTTGAGGTACAGGTTCTCTCGCCTCCGTCTTTGAGTGCCGAGAGGTGCAAGCCTGCAGCGATGCCTGCAGCTTGCCGACAGGAAGCGACACGAGCTCCAGGAGACCATCGGACCATTCATGTCTGGAATAGTGACCTACATGGATGGGTCTGCAAGACCAAGCAAGGCGAAGCCATATTGCCATATAATGAACACCAACGAAAAAACTGAGGTGCCACTTAAGTGATGCTTTCTGTGGTGATCCCGGCGTGTCTTCGACTCATGGAAGAATCCCTGCCACTTGGCGGTTCCAAGGTCGACCATGCCGTAACTTGGTGTCTTCCTGCTTGGGAAAGCTTCTGAGTAGCTTCTGAGTAGGCCCCCTTGTCCCGAAAGAAACTCAAGGGGCAACATATTGTCTGTCCATAAAATGAACCCCGATATAGATGTCGTTGACCTTCAAACCGGGACCCAAAAAAAACAAACAAACATAAAACACAGTGCGGTTTCAGGGTCGGTGGTCTTTCCAAACGGCAGCCGGTGTTTTTGATGCACATATCGTATGACAAGATGACACAACTGTTCCCTCCTATACTTGAGATGGCTTTGCTGAAACCAAATCTATAATATGGAATCACACACAACGCCAACACGCCTCAGATCTCGACAAACAGCTTGGCAACGAGCGCAACCAAACATAGTAACTCTTCTAAACAAACAAAAACTTCCTACTATGCAGTACTTACAGGATTGTTTCTTCTATACTACCATATTGCAGTGTTCTTTTCTTGTGCTTTTCTGTGTCACTCTACATCTTGCCTTTCCGCGCCTTTGCGTCGCGCGGCTGCTTTAGCCGCCAGGCTTTTCGAAGCAAAGGCCAACCAGCGGAGCGGCGAGGCCGTCTGCGGCAGCATTTGGGCGGGCGGTTGGTGCTGTGTTCCTCAATTTGGGTGATCTGTTGGGCGGACTGGGAAGGTCTCTTCTTCAAGTTTGGTGGTTGGGCGCGAAGTCGTGTGGGAAGGGCGGTTCTCGGAAGCTTCACCATGTGTTCAACTCACTCCTGAGAGTCTCAGGCTCCCGGTTTAACGAGGACCTATGCTGTAAGGCCGGTTTCTGGGAGGTGCATGGCGCGACTGTGGAGTTTGTCCAGAGAACTTTGAGATGTTTGATGCTTTTGCCATACAGGGCGCCTGGAATTCTTCATCTCCTTTGGGGTCCATGTCCTGAAATCTGAAAAAAATACCAGGATTGAAATGAAAATGGGCTCCGGTTTCACCCTTGGTTGGAGGCACTACACATACTACACAGGCGCCCTTGTTGTGGTGAAACTTTGACATTCTTTCGGAATCGATCCGTTTGATGATCGGTGATCGAATTTGGGAAGGCTGGTTTGTGATTTCAACTCACTTGAAAAACAAGTAAACCACCACCTCAAGTAAACCACCAAGTGATTTCAACTCACTCACTTTTAGTCAGTGTTTTCAATCATATAAACCACCACCTCGGATCCAGGAAGGCCCCGGAAGATGCTCCATAACCATGCTTCGGTGGCGCGAAACTCCAGCTGTCTCTTCTACCAGTTCCGACCAGTTCCGATGAAAGGTTTTGGGATTAAACCTGCCAGTTCCGGATGCTGTAGGACCGTAAGGTCCCTCTTTTTCCCATAGGACCATGGTAGGACCACCTGTAGGACCATGGATGCGGACCGTCTGAGGACCGTCAAACGGTCCCTCTGCACTTCTCTCGGTCCCGACCATCACGGCGCCGGGACCGGCGCCTGGGCGCACGAAAGAACACCTGCGAAGGGGGCGAGTGAAGCGTATGAGCAGTGGGAAAGCGCAGTGTGCGAACCAAGCAATGAACTGAAACCACCAGAGGGTGCAGTGATGGTGCGTTGCTTCATGGAAAGAATGCTGACATAGTTCAGTTCCGCTGACATCGAGACCGGACACTCTTGGAGTTCCGGACACGGAGGCTACCGCAACTGGTAGAAGACGTCCAAACGCCGACATCGAACGACGTCGAACGGTGACATCCTGCATCCCTTTTTGTGATCCAAAAAGCGACCTGCGAAATCTGACTCGAAATCACATGCCGGCTCCGCGGCTCCGCAGCTGCTCGAAAACACCGACGCCAACAGCCTGGACGAAGTGGATGGGATGATGTGGATTCTTTTGTTGAATTAAGAACACTCAGCCAAACACTGTGGCAATCCATCCTAGTGTCATCTGATGTCAAGGTTCCAGCAAACATACATAATTTGTTGATTGGTCTGGCATGTCTGGTGGAAACAACAACCGGCAAAAGGACAGATCGAATTCCGATGTTTGGGCCTCCCTCTTCCACATATGCCGCGATGTTTGGGAGGTGACAGTTAAGCACACGTCGCGACCAGTTCCATCCAATTCAACGGGGTGTTTTGGAGACCGAATGGAATGAATGACATTGCCACGGCTCCAAATTTTGGACCATCCATGTATGGAATAGTCCGAATAGTTATGGTCATGGGTTATACCCATATCTACTCCATTGACGACCCATCCACATAGGTAACTATTCGAGTCCTATGAAGTGTCATGGAAACACATGAGGACATGGACCCTTTCTAGCTTCCAATCCCCGGACCATCCGGAAGAGACTAATGCAGCTTTCAAGGGACCTTCGCTTTAGTTTGGTGGTTGGGGTGGGTGGTTTGGGATCTGTCCCTCGCTTCTGAGAAGGGAGTTGGAGCCCTAGCTAGGGAACATCAACAGAACTCTTGACCATTTAACGATCACGTATGTGAGGAGCTTGTGAACTTTTGGGACACGTGCCTGGTGGAAGAACCAGCGGCAAATCTCTTCAGAAGACTTGAAGATGGTGGAGCAAGAAAGGACCTCGGCCAAGCGAAGTGCTGAAGGCCGTTCCCTGGTGAATCTACAGCCCAAAGGGGATGTGTTAGGACATGTTTGGACAACAATATTTGGTTTTGGGTCGGCCTGGAGTTGGTTTAGAGAGGGGACAAAAGGAAAAGGGAGCCACCATGCATCCCCAAAGACTTGGTCACTCCTTTCAGTCACTCCTGGGTCCCTCACTTCAGTTCTAACGGCCAAGGCAAAACATCTGGTGTTCACCATGAACTCTTCGCTTCAGATACTCTGCAGCTTCCATGGTAAATGGGAGATCTCTGTGAGTATGTCATAGACATAGACCGCAGAAACATGTAATGTTCAATTGCTTCAAAGAACCGGCCCTGGCCATGAGAAAGGACTGCCGGTGAAACCGTTAAACCTTGAGGCAAAGGAAAACGGCAACAACCAGGCATATCACATTGGAAGTTCAAGGTATGGAAAGGTGATGGATCATTAAACTGTAAATCATAGGAATATCTGAGCAGGGAGACATGTGCCAAAAACCATGCCAAAAGCACCGTTCCAAACGTGCTCTCAAGCTTGGTGTTTGGACTCTCGGCCTCATTGCGTGATCTGTACCGAGGTCTGTGAGCAGCTGAAACTCTACTAGAACGGCCACTGACTTCCGCAGCGGCTAGGAACATGCTGCGACTACCAAAAGAACACCTTGGCATTGGAACTCCTTCCTGTAGGTAGGAGGTTGTTTTTTGAAATGAATGATCTTTGAAAGGTTCGACAATCACAAAAAAAAGACCACTACTGCCAACTGTTGTTGCCATTGCCAAGGTGTTGCCTTAAACACTCTGAAACATGGAACCAACTAACATATCTTCGCAAACTCCTGTGCCACAGCCATGCTGTTGTTGGCCGGAAGGGTTGTTGTGTGATCCGGATCAAAAGTCGGATCAGACGTCCCGGAACCCTCCCGACCTGGAACTGCACAGCTGAACGCTCCCCGAACGCCTGGCCACTCCCCTAGCCCTCAATGCCGCTGTACTCCCGAAGACGTTTCATCTGTTCGGCGACACGCTGTTCCTTGCTGGGTGCAGCTTCCAACTTCACTCGGGTCATCTCCAACTCCTTCCGGGCCTCAAAGCGGGGAAGGGGCCCTCAAAGCTGAGCTAGGAGGGGTTGGGAGAGTTGCGAAGACTTGACCATGGATTTGTTGGAAACATCTTCTGCCTGTCGCCTGTTTGAGGTTATGCTTCTGGTCCTGATCATTATGATTTATAATGATTTATATAGCCATCTCCTATCCCCCAAAACCCATCTCATGCTCTGATCACCTTGGTTCTTCTCCAAGGGTCGGTGTACCAAGCGGATCAAGAAACAGTGACGAGATTCAAGTACCATGAAGCTGTAATATAACATTTACCTGTTGTTTTCTTGTTTTTTGCCGGCTTCTCCTTGTCAGTTGAGTCAACATCACTGGTCACAGAGAAAAGCAAATCATCACGCATTCAACAGTTGCAAAACATCTGAACTTCAACGGTTTACCAATGACTTTCACCCCGCATTCCACTTTCACCCCCCTGAAAACAGACTGCTCATGCTCAAAGCCAGGCAACTTCAGGGAACTGGGCGGCCTGGGCCACATCGGGTCCACAGGAACAAACAAAACCACCGCGACCCTGAGACACTGGGGACCTCGGAAACTCTGGGCCTACGAGAACTGGCTGCGGACGTGTGGACGGTTGAAGGGACGCCCCCCTTTTCATGGACCCTCGAACAAGAAGGGACCCCCCTCTTAGGGGGTTGAAATATTGAGGTGCGTTTTGGGCGCTCAATTGCAAGAATTCCCAAATACAATGAAATGCATCCCGCAATTTTCTCCACACTCCTGACTCGGGTACGGTTATGTGCAGTCATATCAGCGCCCACAGTGAAAGAGTCAAATTTGGGTAGTCGACCTGGGTGACCCCGAAAGTGACACTGTAAATGTCTTTTGCATGTTATTGACCATTAATCCTAAGATAAGTAATACTGAAGATGCTTAGATACTATAGATGCTTAGATACTAACTATGTAATCCAACCATAAATTAATGCTTAACCTCTTTGACTAAGTGGCTTCACTCTTAACGAGCAACATCGGGTGTTCTCCGCCCCTCCGTCTCCGCCTCAATGCGCGAGCGTGTCACGTAGTCGATCTCCCCCGGCTTCACCGCCGCATTGGCGGCATCAATACCCTGGCAGGTCGGAGCCGTGGAGGTTGGGAGGTGGGTTTCGAACTGCTTCGATCGATCCTACTTCGGTCAAGTTCTTCGGTCAAGTATGGCATCCAATATAGGCACCGTTTTCTTTTTGGGGGGCACCGTTTTCGGAAGCTTCAGAACGAAGCGGCACTCATGTGCTGCTTCTCCGCCCAGGCAAGGTTGGCTTCACACGCCCTCCCCGCAGCGTTTGCACCTGCATGTAGCTGGGCCGTACCAACTGAAAGTCCGGCCGACCAGAGCCAGTTCCCGCCCAAGCTGGCACGCTGAAGCCTCACATGAGGCTGCTACACACTGGTAGTGCTAACGACGAGATGAAGAACTCCAGCACCACCTCGCATATAAGATCAATAGAAGGCCACAAAAAATGGAGTATTGTCCCTACCGTCGGGTGACTGTAGAGAATAAGGACCCTTTGGGACCATAAGGACCATCACCAGGACCGGAGTCTCTCGTCGCCATCTCCGTCTATCAAAGCTGTCCGTGTACTCTAAGTGTTCTGAAAAAGCAACTAAGTGTTCCGTACCTGCTAAGGTGAAGCTTTTGTGATGCAACAAAGAACCACCAATGGATCATTCAAGTTATCCAAGGTTGTCTCCTTAGGGAAACAAGTTCCACTATGAGGCAGGTCCTTCTGAAGAAACTTGTTCCTATTGCTTCACCTGCTCACCCTGCAAGTCCTAGCCACACTTAAATGCTTTGTCTCCAAGTAGCTCAGAATCAATCCCACCACTGCAGCCATCACCGGCACGCCCATCTCTGGCAGCTTCGACTCCGCGCGGCTCTCGTTCCAAGAACGCACGGCCGTGCGCGGAGCGACTTGCACCGTGCGGCTGCTGGGGGCCACGAAGGCCAAGCCAGCGGCCAGCGTGAGGAGGATCAGGATCCGAGCCATTGGGAGACCGGAGACAACGGGACGCGACGAGAAATCGTTGGAGTCCAAACCGCCTTGAGACGGATGAGATGGTACGCTGAGAAATCGCTGGACCGGGTGACCAAACAGGTGCCCCCTTCGGTTGTGCGTGCAAAAGCCGAGCTGTTGATCAACAAGCTTGCTTGCAAGCTGTCATCGCATTTTCTTGTCAAGGCTTAACCTTGTGATTCTGCCTATGTATGGCCAACCAACTTGCTTAAAGCTGCTTATATAATATTCAGCTTACAAAGATTGTCACAAGGGCAACTCCAAAATGATGTTGAGTCAATCACAAAGATTCAGCACGCGTGAATCTTCATCCTAATTACCAGTATCTCCACAAAAGACAAGCAAACCAACCAAACCAACGGAATTTTATGCCGAAGGTCTCCTGATTCTCGATCAACTTCTGAAAGTCACCACCACAAACTTAAGGCTTTCACTTCGCAAACACCCATTCTCAGCTGTTTTCTGAGTGCCCGTTCACACATGGCCAGCTCCTGGAAGCTGATCCAAAGGCTTAGGTGCAAGAAGAGAATCCTCGGTTCTTCATGTTTCTCTGCAAACAAACCGGAAGGTCAAAACGTATGAGTTACCAGTAGCGGTAATAGGAGGCCTGCCCTTGTGATCTTATAGATATACATATATAGTGATACAAATGATACTCAGTAGTAGTGGACCCCCCACCCAACCACCCAACCAACCAAAGCTGTATTGTTATCATCTTGTCTCGTCAGCATAGGTTCGATCTTTGTGTCTATCTTAGTAGCTACAGTACCACCGCGCCAAGATGATCGAACGTCAACGATTCCGGCCATCGGCCCAAGCTGATGGTACCGAACATCCCTCCTGGCGATGCAGGATGTGTTCCTTCACAAGTGATATTTCCATGATTGCATTGAGTTGTTCTTTTTCTGACCTCGCATGGCTGGCTGAGAGAATCACCTCAAAACAATGCTGATGAATCTTGCGTGCAAACTTTGTGAGCATACCTGATCCAAGTGGTCACCAACAGAGCCAACTATGCCCTAATTCCACTATACCTCCTACACTGCTTGTGGACCTCCAGGTAGCTTTGAAGAGACCAAGCACAATCGGATCAGCTGCTTCTAGACTTTCTGCACCTACCGTTCTTGCCAAGCAACGGCATCAGCTCCGCCGTTGGCGTCGCTCTCGGGCGCGCGGTGCAGTGCTGCTCTGCCGACGGTGGTGGCTGGACCTGAAGGCGGTTTCAGCAGCGACACAGACGGAGCAGCGACGTCCAGTGCGGAACTTCCAAGCTGAACTCCCATCACCGAACTTCGGTCGAAGGAATGATGATGAATGATGTGCTCTATTTTTCCGGTAGGACCCAAGCTGTTGATAGTTCTCACTATAATGGCACGAGTCATAACAGCTGTTCGGGCAGGAGAAATCACCTGCACCATCTGCGCTTGCTTGGCGTCCGCCTCCCGCCGCAGCGCTGCCCGGATGTGCAACGCCCGGAGGGCCCCAGCGTGCGCAGCCGACCTGACGCATGTTTGGTGGGAAGAGCAGAATGGCTTCAACTCAGATTCCACAAGTTCCAATAGTGCTGGAGATCAATGCATACTGGAACTGCGTCAAGAATGTATATACACTGGGGTGCCAAAAGTTGCGCTTCTTGACTTCAAAAACATCACAAACCCTTTCCCCTTAGAATCCTACGTGCAACATGTCAACACCTCAGTGGCGGTCAGATTTCCACACCTGAAAGCCTTATAAATATTATAAATTTAAACGGGTGTGGAAATCTGACCGTGCTGTACCTGCCACGCAAAATGGACGTGTTAATCCGATCCGCTGTAGACCGCAAGTGTCATGTTGGAACAGAGTAAGAAGCGTAAACTTTAGGGTTCTTGAAGTATACTTAAGAATATCTTGGAATCAACGGATTTGCTTGGATCCCTGGGGTTGGTCACTCCCCGAACTTCGTCGTCTCGCCCGCCTCGCTGCCTCCTCGGCCGTGCGTGTGGCGCCGCCTGCGAGTGGGGAACAGCTTGGGGGCCCTCACGGGCCATGGGGCCGACATGTTCGGGAAGTCAGCCAATAAGTGGAGTCTGAAAGAGCATGAAGCTTCTAGGCTGGTCGAGTTACAAGATGCAAACGCAAGACTCTTGCATGGAAGCGATCTTATCATACTGATGTGGTCCAAATGGGTTTAAGATGGTGCGGTTGCACCAAGGCTTGAATGGCCGGGGGGGTTGGTTTGGGAGAGGGACTTTCATTGTCAATGGCATGTGCAAAGGATGCAAACATAAACATGTTTTGCAAATGTGTACGTGCACGCACCTGCATCTAGAGGCAATATTCACTGAAACTGAGATCTTGAGATCATAGTAATACAAACAGCCGCGTCAAGTCAAAAAAGTTGGAATGACCCCCTGGGTAGACCAACCAGAATCCCCTAGAGACAGGTCTCTATTTATATATATACATACAATTATCTACATTTATATATATATACATAGGATCTGTCAAAGCACCTTCAGACACATGCCAAACACCTGGCATAGCCAAGCAAATCTGTTCAGCACATGGCTCTGTTCCCATCATGATCGGACCAACTAACACTTGCTTATCTGTCCGGGATCACACACAAGGTTGTGATGGACCTTCGATATGGCCAGAAACTAGTGATGCAGCACACTGATACCCGAGAAAATTACTTGTCTTGACATGAACTCAGAAGACAATTGGCAACAACTGCAAATTCGTCCGCTGACTTCATTGTGTCCATACATGGCTCTCTGCGCCTGCAATGACTGCACCTCGAGTAGAGACATCAGGCTCCTGGACCAGCTCCGGTGGCGAGTCTGATGCAGCCCGAGGACGCACCAGCTCATCACGGTGTATGTGACGTGAGATGTGGTGATTGGTGGCGTGGTGGCATGAAATTCATAAATCTGCAAATCGCACAAGCACCTGAACTTGGACACAAAAGCTACCACTCAAAGCTATTCAATAGATCCAGGATTCAAGAACTCTCCATGGCCCTCTGAGTTTCTTTCTAAATGTATCCGGGAACTATGAGATTCCACACTCGCGCGGGACACCTCACCCTCTCTGCTCCAGCTCCTGTGTGCGCTCGGGAACGGGAGCCACCTGGATCTCCTTCTTGATGGGCGGCAGCAGCCTCTGCCCAGTTCTCAAAAGCATGACCACCACTGCTCAATCCCAAAACACTCCATGTATGGAATATACTATATAACGACCCCTGAAACCATCCTTAGATTGGTACATTGGCGTGTCTGACAGAGTCTGAGGAGTTCACAGCCCACCTCGCCCAGCACTCGTTCAAACGACCAGCTGAAAAACCTAACCCGCCTGCGGTCCAAAACCTCCCTTGACATCCCCTGACCCCAACACCATGGTGGACGCCCCGGAAGATGCTACAAGAAGCGTGAAAAATGGTGTTGCGGTGTCCTACATGAGGCGATCGAAAGAACTGCGGTGGACACTGCCGTGGACCTTTTAAAGTCATGGGACTGGAATAGTTCATAGTTCTGTATGCATTGTGATCATTTTCCCCATGAAAATGACCCCATACTACTATTCCAGTCCCATGGATGGCCTGGGATGGCCTGGGTAACGTGACCGAATAGGGTCATTTGGTCCCTCGACAGGTCACTCTAGAGAGAAGCTATGTATTGGTCTTAGCATCGTGGGTTTTTCTCGTCGGCTTTTAACTCTGGTACTCCAAACAATCCTTGAACAGAATGATGCAAACGGGACTCACATGACTCACACCTCTCTCTTTCCCTTGAACACCACAAAAACACATATGCACACAGTACGGTGCTACCAGAGTCTTAGATTTGGACTCTTGGACTCTTGGAATGACCAATGCTACCATGCTGCCTCGATCGGCCTGGCTTTGAGGCTCCTGCGCGTCGTTTCGGGCCGGTCTCCATGGGTTTGAGCCACCCAGAAAGCGCTACAAGAAGGCCAGGGGCTACAAGAAGGCACTATTGCGTGTGGGCACATGTTTTAGTGCAACATACTTGATACGAGAGAGAGTGCCCGTCATGGGCTGACGGGCGGGTGAACCAAGTATGCGCGAACCAATGATGATGGGGATTGGAGCGCTGGCAAACCTGGGAAGCTGCAAAACGAAAACCAAGTTTTTGTTGTCCACTGATGTGCCACGGCTGCTCTGAAATAAAGGGGGAGGGTGCCTCAGTCACCAAGTCTTGCCTCACCGGAGCAAGTGCTGGCTATCACCGTCTCTCATAAAAACGACAGCATAGAAAGCCATTGGACATTCGATAGGAATCCAATATTTTGTTGTTACCTATCCTTTTGCCAGCCCCGGGCCTTGTGCTTGAAGAGGCATAGTAACAGTGCAGCGGTAGCTACCCTGGGTCCGCGCGCGCACGCCTTGCTGGCTCCCCAGACCCCCTTCTTACTCGGCTGGCGCCTTGCCAGGTATAGATACCCAGGGTAGCTACAATTCAGTTACCAGGTATAGTACTTCAAGTTCCCTTTCCGTCCACAGCTTTGAAGTCTCATTCGTGCTTTGAACTTATACAGGTGTGTAAGAGGTATAGCAACGTAGCATTTATACGGACCCAGGGTAGCTACAATTCAGTTGCCAGGTATAGCACTTCAATTTCCCTTTCCGTCAGCCGCTAGATAACCTTGAGAAACACAATCCACGGATTTGAAGACTCATTAGTGCTTTGACCTTATATAGGTGTGTAAGAAGGTTATGCATTCACAGCTGCACGAAGCTACAACACATCGGCCTCTGTAAAAATACACCTTCCCATTCAGATGATGCAAATGATGCAAATTGCATTTCTTGCGTCACAACCCCCTCAAAAATCACAAAACTCAACCTCAAAAACCCTTACTTCCGCGCACCCCTCTCCCCCACCTAGTTTCGAGTTTACGTGGTACGTTCTCGGCCCACCCCCCCCACCCCCTACTTACTCACTTCGTTCGCCAAACACAACTCAGCTGGCGCCTTCTACAAAGGCTGGCTTTCGTAACCAAGCATTGATTTGTCCACCCTCTTTGGCAGGGTTTGAGCTTACCTAGGACTTAGGATTCACTCGTTGCCCCAGAACCCACGGCGGTTCGAGCGCTTTGATAAACCGATCATCCAAAACCTCTATATGTTCCACAAGCTCCTTGTTGTGAAGGACAGGGATCTGCCAAAACCACCCGGCTGAGACTCGGAGACTGTATTTACCACCCTCTTCCTGGTACAACTGGTTGGATGGAATGTCCTCGGCATTTGCTGCTGCGATCGGCCAGGAGTTCGTTGTACAAGACCTGGCCCAGGTCATGCAATTTAGAAGCCCTTGGAGCGTCTCAAAGTGAACAAACATAATAAATCAGCGTGCATGTAAACCCTCCAATAATAACAATCCTTTAGGATGAGAACTGGGCAAGGTTGGAGGATGGATGCAGCAGATCGGAGTTCAACAACATGTGCAAATGCACTCATTCATATTGCTGGGGTTCTACACAACTATCCACTACGACCCATCCGCCAATGAACGACTCATGCCATGTGAACCTTCTGTGAATGGTCAGCTACATAAACTGCACACATCGGTGAAGTCCTTCACTGTGAGGGGCCAATTCTTTTGGTTTAGCTTTCAACGAGTGTTCCTGTCGTGGTCTGGGACGTCCAAAACCTGACATGCGCAAGCCTGTGATACTATGAAAACAACATGTATATAATACCTACATGATATCCTCCGTGCTTAGACACTGGAATCACTTGTCGGGCATTTTATAGATAAATGGTCTCTATAGAGTGGGTGGCAAAAAAAAAAAAACATACCCTACAAAATGACAGGCAAAGGTGTTTCTTAAAATGGCAAGGCAAATCCAGCAGTAGTAAAATATCACTTGAAAAATGGAGAAGTGAAGCCTCTATAAAATGATAAAGCCAGATATCAATAGAAACAAAAACAACATTGATATCCTTGTAAAATGCAACTTGTTGCATGTTTGCATTTATGCTTTGTGTATCTGTATCTGGCTTCCCATTGTTTTAGCAAGCATGTTCATCACACCATTCATCACCTCTATAAAGTGGCAGCTTATTTTCTCACATATCAGTCTTCGTCTGGATTGTCATTTTACAGCGAAAAAAGTAGCCTCTATAAAATGATATGGCAATTTCAATTTCTTTGAGATCTACATCTATATATTGGTAATGCGGCTTGCGATTCTATAATCAAAGCTACCGATGAACATGCAAAAGAGAGTCTTCACCGAGGAGGATATGAGGTTGAAGGTTGTGAAGAGCTGAAGAGCCACCTGGGCTTCGAAACCAGCAAGTCAGAACACTGAATGAAGCTCATGCCGCTGCTTGCTGCACTGGAGCCCTCCACTCCTCGGTTAAATGCTTGGCAAGGAATCACAAGACGTGCTAAAAAAACACCGCTAAAACCAACAAACAATACTCCTCTATTACTCCTCTATAAAGCTGCTGTCACAGGACCTGGAAAAACTACAAAAACGGGTCACTCTCTATAAAATTGTCCAAAAGGCATTCAATAGAGTCAAATGATCGGTATTTTGTAATTTTTAAAGAGGACCAAGCACGGAGGATATAATTCTACATGTTCTCCATATAAATATATACCAGCATCCTCACTGCCAGGTCTCCTCGTTCGAGGATTGTTGGGGTGCAAGAAGACCTAATACGAGCTTGAGCAGCACCGTTTTTGAACGCGTCCACAAACCAAGTCCGTTAGGGGCTATCTCACCCACCGTCAATCCGAAACTGGACACCTTGCCCGCGGCCAAAACCCAGTCCCGTTGCTGAAAGCCGCCTCGTGGAAAACATCTCGCTGCTGTTGCCTCCTGCGTTGCCCGTCTTCACGGGCTGAAGGATGACACGTTTGAAGGCCTGACATAAACCTTGGCTTTTCACCTGATCATCAGCCATACAGTAGAAACTGCTCAACCATGGGTTTCTTCGACGTGGTTCAATTGGTCTAATCTGGTCCCATGCCTTCATGTGGTTAGGATCTAAATTCCTAGATGGACAAATCAATCCAAACTGCTGCGCCACTTGGAACATGTTTCTGATTCTCGTTTGAGGCGCACACTGTAACCACATGGTCCGCCGCGTGTAGGCGGCCGTGTTTGGTTGAAAATGCGATATTGTTTTGAAACTACATTGGGATTAGCATTTCTGTGGTCGTTCAAGGTCTAAAAAAAGTTCTTTCGTTGGGAAAAACATGGAAAAACTACTTTGCATCCACGTGATTGATCTGAACTCAGCTGCTTTTGTTCGTGGACGGAGAGTCAAAGTAACTTGCTAATCTGTACAAGCACTTCGTCTACAGATAGGTTTTGCAGGCAGTGCACTAGCCACACCCATTGGTAAAGCATGGTAAAGCAGCTCGATCTTTGGGTTCATGACACTTTGTGATGACAATGTTGTGTTGTGATGTTGATGACAATGTTGCGTGTTGCGAAATCGATTTACCCCCACCCACCCACCCAATTCTTATCACATGACTTGACTAATCGATGACAATGTTGTGATGTCGATGATAATGTTGTGACATTGAGGACATTGTTGTGAAATCGATGACAATGTTACGATATCGATGACAAACAAAACGTACTGTAAATACCATCTATGTTCTACATGTTTGCTCGAACCAGAAAATTTAATACCATAGACAAAGCATGAACATGCTTATGACAAATGCGACGCTCTCCCCATTTGCACATAGAAAGTGCTATAAATACAATTTGCAAAAAAGTGGTCGAAATGCCACGGCTGTCTATGCGCGGCAGGCCAACTACACGTTCTAAGGGTGCGTTTTTATTTGGGGATGCTTTTGTTGCGTTTGGGGAATCTATTTCCACAGTCGTAGTTTCTCTATAGTTCGTTCAGTGGAACTGGAAAAGCTTTGCGTTTGGGGATTCTTTTTTGTGTGGTCACGGTTTCTCTATAGTTCCTTCAGTGGAACTGAAAAAGCTATGTGGGTATGTATCTCGTATATATATATATATCGTATATATATATATATATTGTATCTGTATATATATAGCTGTTCCCAGAATGAAAGAGTGTTGTTCATATGATGCACTTGGGTTGTTCCTTAAGGTGAACTAAAGCACAAGCACCAGTGGAGCAAAAAGCAAAGAGTGGGAAAGGCATACGAAGCCAGAAACGCAAGCATAAATAAAGCAACACTACCTCAAGGATTGAAAACCAACTTGCCAAAAGTGAAAGCAATGAAGACCATAAAAAGAAAGCCATTACGATAGAGAATCAATATGCCACAAAAAGACAAGAAAAAGGAAAGTAAAGGAGAAAACGCCAGCAAGAACAAACCAAGCGCAAAGGGAGCAGGAACAGAAAGAACAACAGCACAAAGAAGCAAGGAAAAGCAAGACAAACACAGAAAAGCAGAAAGAACAAAAGCGGGAGCAAGGACAAAAACCAGCAATGAGAAGAAAGGAAAGCAAGAAAGCAGGAGAGGTCATAGAGAAGCAAGGAAAAGCAAGAAAAGCAGCAAGAAGCAAATCAACAAAACAATTGCAAAACCAAGAAGAAAACCCACAAAATACAATAGCCCTCCTTAAACAAAACATCGAACCATGATGCTTCACTGAGTCATTGGTATCACATCCGGAGAGCGACCACACCTCCCAATGCGTCCTCTCCTGCGCTTTCGTGGAAACAAATGCAACTCGTTTTAGGATTGGAACAAGGTCGTAAAGAACAGCCAATGTGGCCCTCTCCCGTCACAGATAAGGCATAGCGCATGTCAAATGTTGGGGTCGACCCCAGTGAAAAACCGTGCAAATCAGCAAGTGCCCTGCTGCCACACCGTCGGACGGATTCGCTGGTCGCTCCTGCCACTCATCTGCTTGGTGCAAACGGCACCATTGAGAGCAGTCAGAGTCTTCTGTTCTTCATCGGGATCTGTTCCAACCATACGGCTGCGCTATGTTCTGAGAAGATCTGAGAAGCCGGTTCAGTCATCTTCATGAACTGCACCATGGTGGACTTCACACGTTGGATTGCGACCCGGGTGGACTGGACTGGAGGGGTCATATTTGGACAGCTTCAAAGCCCTTCCCTTGGACCGAAATGATGATGAAGGCCTTGAAGATGATGAAGGAATGCCCAAGCTAGCTGTGATTTTTCTGCATATGGCATTTCAACTCCATCCGGTCAGTCTGCTGCGTATGTCTGCGTCGGACTCCGCGTTTGACCCATGCTGAATCGGAGGGACGAAAACAAAGGTGGATGCGAAGGAAAGGGTACTACTAGTCTACAATAAAAACATATAAACACATTAGTGATACGTAGTGACACTCAACAAGTTCCACAGTCCAAAATGATCAGAATGAATGATCAGAATGCCGATCTTGCCACCAAATAATTCCTGGTTGATCCTGTTTGCCTGCTTCCCACCAGACTTTTTCCATTTGCTCTCAAGTACCACGAACCCTGCCTGCAGCTCACCATGTGTCAGTCTTTGGCGACGTAGTAGGGGTTGTGGGGTTGGATGATGAGCTTGGGGGCATGGTTACGTCGATACGTCGGATGGAGTTGATGCGTGAGGCGGGTTGTTTTGTTGGGGTGCACGCAAGAAAAACAACATCTATAGTCTCTAGGCTCTACAAACAGGCGCCTTCCACTTCCATGTTAATTTGAGGGAGAACAACCGAACTTTCGTTGTTGAAGTAATCCAAACTATATAACAAGACCACTACTAGTAGCAAGAAGCTAGTAGGTTGGAGGCCATCGCTCTTAGGCTGGGGGCCGTCGCTATTAGGTTGGAGGCCATCGCTATTAGGTTGGAGGCCATGGCTACTAGCAGCAAGAATGCAGAGGTTATCCGCTGACAGGGTCGGATCAAGAGTTCACCACGCACCCGCGATTCTTTCTTCGCCCGACTCCGCGTGAATCCACGTGGCGATGTGTGTCCCGGGCCGTCCATTAACAGAGCACGCACCAAGCGTTGCCCAAGGGCCAGGCAAAGTGTAAATTTGGAGTCAATGAAATGTGCTGAACAATCTGAACACCCCGAATAAGAAAGTCAATGTCAATAAGGGTATGTATCCAAGGGTGATCCTTTTGCCAAAGGTCAACCTTGGTGATTGCCTTCATCCACTACTGCAAGTTTGCCCGAGCAAAACGTGTTCGAAGCGACTATTTGGGGAGGAGTCATCAACTTGATACTATGGGTGTTGAAGTGATATACATATATATATATATACACTTGTATATGTGACTGGGATTCTCCCAGATCACAAAGGTAGCTTCTCAGCCCTCTACCAACAAACCTACGGGGATCTACCTAGATCTTCTACCTATCCACGAGTGGTCCCCCACCCTTGTCGGCGGTCCCCCGCTCTTTTCTCCTGAGTCCTGTCCTGCTCCGAGTTGGCCTTGAGCCAAACCATCATTGTGGTTTGTGGTCATCATCTCATGGTTTCATTCGAAGGTGGCTTCACTGGCTTGTCGGTTCGATCGATTCACACTGGTTGTGTTTTCTGTTCGAATGAAATCGGCTGCTTTGGAAATGATTCCACCCATCGAGTGCTGAGGGTTCTATTCGGATTATTCTTCAATTCGTTAGCGTCATCATAAATCCGAAACTTTCCAAGTGACAACACTTTTCTCATGAAAGTCGAATCCATTGGCTTGGTTAAACAGTCGGCTATCATGATTGCCGTAGAGATCCATCTGCAATCTGTTGATTCACTTGATTGTTGCTTGATCAACATGACCTCTATCGTTGTTCGCCATTCTTGGCAATTTGGTGTAGCCATCTTATTCACCAAGTCATACAGACTTTTACAGTCTGTCACCAGCAAGGCTTTCGGTTCGGCTTTCAAAGATTCCTCTGGCTTTTGCCAACGGAAACGGCTGTCCTTTATAATTGCACACATGCATCTCAACCATGTCAACTTATCGAGTGATGATGACATTGCATATGCCTCTGCGCTTAAAGTAGAACGAACAACTCTACTTATTTGCTTCGAGTGCCATGCCATAGGTGATATATCAGAGATCTTATTTTCACTTAGTTCTTTGGTGCATGCTGCAATGAAGACACCCTGCTGTGCCTTAAGCTGGGACTCTGAAGCGAAGCTTGCGTCACCAAAGCTGGCAAATGTTACCTTTTCCATCGGGATAGGCTGGACAATGATCGTGGTTTCTGATGTCTCTTTTGCCTCTTTGAGAACTCTGTTTCCTTCTAACAGGTCTTGTACCTTTGCATCACATATTCTCTTCTGGAGAAAGGATACTTTTGCCATGATATCTGGACGCGAGTGAACTGCCGCGTACTGCATGCTCCCGCAAAGGGCTCTTAGGTGTTGGAGTTCATTGCTAGTTACCTTTGCTTCCGGTTCTTTTCTCCTAAGCTTCGGTACATCTATTGGATCTATTTGGTGAATATAGTCCTTCTGATTTATTCTGATCGAAAAGTCGGCTTGCTGTTCGATGGTCAGGCCTGTAAATTTGAATTTTCCATACTCACGATTCCCGAAAGGCAAATGCTTTTGAATTCTTTCTAATGCTGCTTCGAATCGGCTGTTCCCTCCCCCAATTCCATCATCAACATGTGTTCCAAGAATCCCATCTAGCTTACTTGGGTCGAACTTGTTCCTTAGGAGGAAAATGCAATTGTCCAAAGGATGTGCTTCAAACACTTCGTTTTCAAGTCTGCTACGAAATTCTTTGTAGAACAACAAGGGGGCATCGACTCTTCCGTATGCGTTTCCTTTCAGTTTCAACACATGCTCATTTGAAAGCTGCAACATTGATTTGAATTCTTCAACCGGTTCCATTGCTAATTCTCTTTCATCCGAGCGACCCCTCAAAAAGGCTGTCTTAATGTCGAATGCTTGGACTGGCCAATGAAGAGAACTTACTGTTTGTAGGATCATCATGCGGCCGTCTCGTGAGAGGGTAGGAGACTCCGTCGACACAATGCCTACCTCAGGGTCTTGGAATCCTCTAATTACTAATCTGGCTTTCGGTTTTCTTCCTGAAGGTGCATTCTGGTCTTCCTTCCAAGTCAAAACCCACTTCGAAGACATTATTCGGCTTGGATGGATTCGGTCTCTTAGCAACGGTTCAACGGTGCTCGTTTCGATCCAGCATTGCAACTCTTTTCGTTTGGCTTGATCGAACTGTTGCTTTTCTTCCTTCGTGAGATTTCTGTACTGCACTTCGGTGTGCGTTTTCTTGGCTGCTCGGTTCAGGACTTCTGCATTTAAACACGGGTTCTTGCAAAACTTCTCCAATGTTTTCATTGGCACTACTAATTCGAACGAACAAACATGTGCTTCAGCTTCTAAGGATGCTTCTTCACTCCAGAGAGTGCCCCGGTCATGCACTGCTGGCTGGTTTGTATCTACCCCTTCTATCATGCAAATATGAAACATTGCTGAATCCCCTTTTGATTCACATGTTTCTTCACCCCTTTCCAACCCTTCTGCAGGTGCTTCCTTAAGTTCCTCTTCTGCTGCTGGATCTATCACCGGAATCTGGCTCGCATCCACTCCCGGACACTTCTCTGCTGATTCGGTGTTCGAATTTCTACGAAGAGGTTCTTCCTCTGGCTGGACATTTTGGTGTTGGGACCTCACGGACTGTCCTGCTTCGGATGGCGTATATTCTTCTGTATCTATCTGATCTGACAAATCCGAAAATTGGAACATTCCGCTTCTTTCTTTGAGCTGATTACGAAGTTGGTCAGCCATCTTTTGCAGTCTTTCTTGATTCCCAACTTGGCTAAAGCCATGGTGGCTTTGGAACTCCCTCAGTGACACTGACCTCATGTTTTCCCTAGCTACTCTCAGCAGTCGGTTCAAATGCGTCACCCACACGATAGTTCTGGACTCGTGCATTATCACCTGACATGGACCGACCCATCTCCCTTTTTCAAGCATGTTTGGGGCTTTTCTCTTATCCCAAATCATACATAGTTCACCGCAGTTCCAGTCATGCTCCCTACCCCTAGATTGCCGTAAGATTGCTCTTCTGATTGCCTCGCTATTATCGGCATCTATCATGGCTTTTCGGGCTTCGGTTCGAATGCTCATTCGTCGTTTGAATACTTCTGATTGCGTTTCTTCTCCTACTCCTAACGAATGCGAAACAATTGTTTCATCGCTGCAAATTGAACCTGGGATTTTTCTGGCTCTACCGAGGACTGCTTGCTCTGGACTAAAGCCCTTTACCACGCTCATGCTATTCTTTGCTTGAAAGCACTGAGTCAGAGCATAGTCGAAATCTTTGTCGCTTGATATTGGGATGTGATGGTCAATTCTGCTCAGCATTTCTTTCACTGTTCCTCCATGTCTTTCTATTCTACCTCGTTGCCAAGGTGCTGCCGTTGTCACGGAGTGGATTCCGTTCTGCTGCAACATATCTTTCCAGTGCTGACTAACGAACTCCCCTGCAAGGTCATGAACCATCGTTTCTGGGGGACCCGCCCAATTCATCCAGGTTTCAGTGACTACCTTTTCCGCCTCTTCTGTTCCCCTTAGACATCTCTTCCCCAAATGAAAGTGTGTGGATTCGTCAAAGATGTGAACTACATAGAACTTTTTCCCCTTTTCATTCTTCCATTCGAAACCGTCTATGGATATCACCTCATTGAATTCCTTTGGCTCTTTCAATTTTCCGGGACTAGTCAATTTGGGACCCACTCTCTCTGAACAAGACTGGCACAAATAGTCGGCTGCTCCTTCAATCACCTCATTCGAAAACCTCAGTCTACGAAGATGGGCTGACAATTTTTCTGCTGTTGGATGACCGAGATTATTGTGCATTCTTTGAATCAAAGACTTCTGGAAGCTATCTAGCTTTAGAAAATTGGGTCCTGAATTGTTCGTCGACTGGGGTGACCATGCTGGCACTGGAGTTCTTGCCAATGCTTCTGTTGACTCAGCTCGAATTTGTCCACCCTCT